CCAGCAGTTGGATCCCACCTTCATTTAGACCAAGTGGTAAGGACAGGCAGGCTGTGCCTTTAGTCAAGCCTGGGCTTCTTCGGAGGCAGCAGAATGGAGCCCTACCCCCAGGACTCCCTCGGTGGCCCTCGGAAAAGCCCAAAGCCCCGTCTTCTCCTCCTCCCTCTCTGGGGCAGGCCTCTGCCGGTTCCTGGCCTGCTGTGCATTTCCCATCATTCCCAGGGATGGCTGATGGGAAAGGCTGAGCTCACTGCTCCCTGGGAGGGCAAGGGGTGGAGGGAGGAGAGGGAGAGGCCGCGGCAGCTGTGGGAGCAGGGGAGAGGAGCAGAGAGGAGATCTGCAGTGGGAGAGGTTGAGGTTATCAGCACTCACGCTCACGGGGAGTGGGAGAGGGTGGGGCACGGCCTCCAAGCTGGGCCTCACAGAAGCTCAGCACTTCCTTGGCCTCCTTGAAAGCTGCTTTGTCCCTCTGCTGGCCGCCCTGCTGAGGGGCCCTGGGCTCTCGGAGGAGGAGGATGCACCTATGTTGGGGATGGGAGGAGGGTATCACAGACCAGCAGGGGCAGGGAATGAGGGTCCATTGCTCGACAGGAGTATGAATACCACCCCCTTCATGAGGAGAGGGCCATCTCAGCCGGTGTCCATCCTTCACTCCAACCCTCTCCCCAGAAGTCGGTCACCATTTGCCCTTGGGCTCATCATCTGTCTTCACTGGACCTTACTTTTCTTAACTGCATGTGTGTGAGGGGGAGTGGAAGGGCAGGTAATAACACTATTATGGGATTTGAGAGAGTTAAATGAGGTCATGATTTTGAAACGTACACTCTGCTATGTAAGGATGTGTGATTCCATGCGTACGCACATCACTCTAATATTCTCTCTTCTCCTCAGTGACCTGGCAAACTCTTCATCATCCTTTGAGTCCCATCTCACGTGTCACCTGTTCTCTGTGACTTCCAAGCCATTCCCTCCCTGGAGTTACTGTCACCATCTTTATAACTCTCTCTCATAGTGCCTTTTGCAGGATAGTTTTTGGTTTGTGCGTCTGTCTCCCTACCATATGTGGGCAGTGCATTCACCCCAGACCCCTTTGCTTCTCAAAGTCCCCAGAGTTGTGGTAAAATAGAGGCAGGATGGCAAAGGCTGGGGAGCTGGCCTCCTGGGGTGTGGCCTGGGCAAGGTCCCCACATGGCAGTTTTGTCCTCAGAATCGAGCAGGTCCCCATGACCAACTCAATTGGATTTATGAGCATCTAGGTTCTGAAGTTGTCACTCCAGACAGATGGATGGCTAAAGAAGGGGCCAGCACTGTTCCTCCCGGCAGGAGGCTTCTTACACTTCCCTGAACAGAGAAGGGGAACCAGCATGAGGAACAGGTGGAGGGTTTGGGGTGGGTATGGAGGTGTTGATTACCAAGCCCCAGGGTGTGGTTTGGGGAGAGGTTTGGAGATGCCCCTAGTGCTCCCTCCTGCTTGCTGCTTCCCCGAGGACACCTGCTCTTGGCTGGCCTTGCTGTGCCTACCTCATCTGTAGGCTTCTGTGTTCTTGGAAGTAATGGAAATGCATTTCTTAAAAATGCTTGATAATTCAGCCTTGTTCTCATAACAGACCTTTGTCTGAGGCCTCCTAGGAACTCCTCATACCCATTATCTCCTCTTAGCCGGCTAGACCCATCAAAGTAATGTGACCCCCGTTGAGAGCTGGGAAGCCAGTTGAGGCCAAGATGGCCAGGAACCTGCTCGAGACCACCCAGTGAGTTTGTTTATTGTGCTGGTGCTGCTGGTAGTGGTGGTGGTGGTGGTGGTGGCTAGCATTTTCACCACCTACAGAACTCTAACTATATGCCAGGGCCTCATTTAACACTCCAGACAGTGGAAGTACTGGGTAATGAAGCCATGGGTCTGCCTGGCCCCAAGCCCTTAACTCCTTTTGTGATGTGCCTTCTCTGTGTGCCAGGCACAGCCTCCACCCTAGAGCAGCTCCCACCCAGGGCGGGACAGACACCCATGGGTCATCCCACCACCATGACCACCAAGGTACATGAGATAGGCACCCTGGGACAGAGTGAGGGGCACAATAATAATGCCTTTTCTTCCTTAAGTGGGCCTCAAGATTAAACATGATAAATATACAAAGTCCCTAGCATATACGAATACATGATGTTAAAATAATTGCTATTGTGGGTTTTTCTTGTTTTCTAAGTTTTAATAAAACTACTCAGTTAAAAGTTTCAAAAGGAGAACTATAGGGGGACCTGGGTGGCTCAGTCCTTAAGCACCCGACTCTCTCTCTCTTTCTCTCTTTTATTTTAAAATTTTTATTTGTTTATTCATGAGAGACACACAGAGAAAGGCAGAGGGAGAAGCAGGCTCCCTGCAGGTAGCCTGATGTGGGACTTGATCCCAGAACCCCGAGATCATAACCTAAGCCAAAGGCAGACAGATACTCAACCACTGAGCCACCCAGGTGTCCCCCAAGCACCTGACTCTCTTGATATCCATTTACTGTTGTGAGATCGAGCCCTGCATTGGCTCTGTGCTCGGCAGAGAGTCTGTTTGAGATTCTCTCTCCTTTTCCCTCTCCCCTCTCCTGATGCACATGCATGCTCTCTCTCAAAATAAATAAATAAAATTTTTTAAAAAAAGAGAACTGTATTTTGAGATGACTGAGAAGTTTGTGATTTACATTTGTAATACTATTCTTTGAGAGAACCTCTTATATCCCAACAGTACCACAGTATGTTCATTCCAATAATGAATGTATTTAGTTTGGAGCACAGAATAATTGTATCTTTTTTTTTATTTATGATAGTTGCGCACAGAGAGAGAGAGAGAGAGAGAGAGGCAGAGACACAGGCAGAGGGAGAAGCAGGCTTCATGCACCGGGAGCCTGACGTGGGATTCGATCCCGGGTCTCCAGGACCGCGCCCCGTGCCAAAGGCAGGCGCTAAACCGCTGCGCCACCCAGGGATCCCAGTATCTTTTGAAAGTATGTGATTCTTTTCAAACTCAGAAGCATTTTAATTATATTTTTACGTCTTAATTTATCAAACAGATGGTTTGAGCTGCTTCTATTTCTTCTTTTCTGCTCTGTGACTTTGGGCAAGTTACTTAACCTGTGTCTAAGTTTCTTCCTATGTCGAGTAGGAATAAGAAGAGTATCCACCTGACAGGGTTCTTGTGAGGATTAAATGAATGAATATAGTATTTAGAATAGTGCTGGGCTTGTATTAAACATGATAAACATAATTTATAATAATAATTCTTAGTAAGAAAATATACCCAGATTAAGTTATCAGATTAAGGTGGTTTTTCAGCAAACATGTATGCATGCAGCTAACATTTACTGGGTGCTGGCCCAAGGCTTGTTTGGGCCTTGCTCTTGGAGCTCCATTGCTCCCTTGCTCTGCCCAGTGGTCTGGTCCCCCAGCTCTACTTCCACATCTTGCTCCCGGCCCCCAGGGCCCTGGGTGAGGCTAAGCTCATAAAAAGTGTCTGCAAAGCACTTTGTGGATCGATGCTAACTAATAGCAGCTCCCTGGAGTTGGCACACACTGTAGGGAAGAGGACTGTGAAGGCGGCTTGGACCAGGCTCAGGGATGGCCCTTGGCACTCCTGGTGGGACCTGGGAAGGGCCCCTGCTGTCCTTCCTCGCCTGTACCTCCTGCCACTTTAGCCTGAGGGGGATGCTGACAGTCTGGGGGTGGGAGGGCTGTTAGTGGCCACAGGGGGAAGGGATTTGCCTGGCCCGTAGCAGAGCCAGGTGCAGAGACCCATCAAGCCCCTGCATCTTGTCATATCTAGGCCAGAGCTGGGTGCACAGCCTATCCTGGGCATCCTCTTATCAGGGGTCTCCAAGGTGCCCCCTTCAAAATCTCTTGAGAAGTCAGCCTTCCTGGGCTGGGAGAGATGGCCATGGACCTCCATACAGATCTGCAGCTGTCTTAGGTACAGCAAAGCAGCTTTGGGTCAATTGAGGGCATGAATGGGAGTCTGGCATGGGACCCTGTGCATGGGATGATTGGGCATGACTCCCTCAGTCCTGCCCCAGAAGGAAGCTCCTCTCTTCTTAGACTGAACTGAAATCTGTTCTGAGGACTGTCATGGGGGCCAGCAGTTGGGGAGTGTGCCCTCTGGGAGCTATTGGTCTAATGGAGGAGTCACAGCCCCATTCTCCAGAAGAATGACTCTTGTCTGATGGGGGCAATGTGGCTCCTATTTCCAGAGCTCCCTATTTAATAGAGGGGACATAGCTCTCTTGTTCACTGGCAGCTCCTTGTTTAAGGAAGGAGGCATGACCTGTGTCATGCAAGAACCTCCTGTGATGGAAAGTCATAGCCACTTTGGCCCACAAGTCATTTCAGGAAAATCTTTGTCTGATATAAGAGACATGACTTTGCCCTCAGGAAAGTCCCCTGTCTGATGGGGGAGGTTCATCTTGTCCTTTCAGGAAGCGCCATTCGATGGCCTCTGCCTTTGTCTCCCTCCTCCCTGCTTCCTACCCCCTGCCTGATTTATGGGGAGCCCAGATCTACAGGCAATAGCCACAGAAGGCTGGGCAGAGTGGGCGTTGGCTGCTGTGGGACAGGGAGGAAGAGAAAAAGAGGGACTACAGAGAGACTCCACAGCGAGTGAGGATGACATGGAAGGCTTCCCAGTGGAGGTGGCTTTATGGGACAGTCTGATGGATAAGAGGTGCTGGCTGTGATGAGTATCCATTGGGGATATAGGGTGGAGGCTCCCCTAGGCTGGGAAGGAACAATTGAGAGGTCACTCCAGGGAGCCCCTGTCTTCATGCAGGCCCACCTACTGGGGTGGAAGGGTCCTGGGGAGACCCTCACCCTCTGACTGCCTGTGCACAGGCTGAGTGCTGCCAGCCCAGAGACATCCGCCCTCCAGGCCTGAGAAGCCCAGAGGAGGAGAGGAAACAGGACGCGTATCAGGAACGCCTTTTCCTTTTCTTTGTAACTAACCCCCTCACTTGGGGCTGGGGAGAGCTGATCCTGAAGGGCCTGTCCTGGCCTGCCTGCTGTTGCCTGCAGCCCCCAACTCTGGGACTTACACAGCCTTACCCACCCCTTGGCTGCTGCTTCTGGGCCAGTCCCTTGACTTCACCACAACTCAGGACTCTCATCTGTAAAATGGGGTAAGACTTCCTATGTGTCTCACGTGGAAGTTTGTTTTCTTCCTCTTTTTGTAGGATTTACATAATTTATTCCTTTATTCATGAGATATGCATCAAGCCCCTCTGACCTTTGGGTTGGGCAGGGGCCAAGAACACAGGCAAGGAACAAGTGTGGGCAGACAGGAAGTCTATTTGCAGCTTGTCTGGGGAGTTGGGGGACATCTGAGTGGAGATGTCACAAAGCTGGTGGGTGTGGGGTCAGAGGGGATCTGGCTGGAGATAAAGGTTTGGACTTAACCAGCATCTAGTGGCAGCCAAGTGGCTGGGTGGGTGGAGTCACCCCGGGAACTGCTTGTCATGTGCTCTGGGAAGGGGTGGAGGGCCGGACCCTGGAGGCCACAGCCAGCTGGGCTCAGCATACAGAGAGCTGGACACAGAGCTGGGATGGGGATCCACTCAGCCGGGGCTCTGGTGGCCAGGAGGAATGGGCACTGAGACACGGTCACTGGATGGTATTCCTCAGAGGGAGTGGTGGTGGTGGTGGTGGGGGGCGGGTGTTGAGACCTTCACCTTAGCAACCTGGTAGGGAGGTGGTGTGTGGGGAAGGATGGGCCACAGAGGTACTGAGATATCAAAGAATATGGTCAGCCAGATTGGTATTCTTTTACTGTTCTCATTATTTAAGTTACTCTCTGCTGGCTAGAAGGCTGCTTATGAGTGTTTTTATGTGGTGTGTGTATGGCCTCTGTGTGGGGGTGTTGAATGTGAGATGGATGTTGCTGGTTTATGCATGCTTGTATTTGTGTGAGTGGTCTGTGCATGGTACGTTTAAGTGTCTGTGGGGTACGTGTGCATACATGATGATATGCGTGTGGTGTAGGTGTATGTGGCAAGTGTACACAGTGTGCGTGTGGTATGGTGTGTGTGGTGTCTGTAGGTATATGTGGAGGGTGTGAGGTGTTTGTGTGACCTCTGAGGCTATGCGTGGGGTGCATGCATCTGCGTATGTGTATGGCATGCATGGTACGTGAACGTATGAGATGTGGAGAATTTGTATGTGTTGCCACGTTTAGATCCTTGTTCCACAGTGTGTCTAGCAGGCTGGTGCTGGGCCATCTCTCTAGGCTGGAAACTTAGAAGCATCTACCAGGCTTGTGACTTCCCTTCTTTACTTAGGGCTACACCCAATGGTGTACTGGTAACAACTGGCTGTCCAGAAAAAACAACAGAGGTGGTGGTGTAGTACTTGCCAATCTCTGTGATGTAATTCCCCCAGCAAGGATGTCACGCTGCTAAAGTGATGTCCCCGGGCATGGAGTTGGGGGGAATGCATGGTAGGACACCATCATATAGTGCTCCCACCCTACAGATCTAGGGGGCATAAATAGCCTCAAGAGCATCCTAGAGAAATGTCGTGAAGTAACGATATGTCTAGAGTATTATTCCCTTTGTTTTTAATATAACCTATTTATTTTATTTTTTAAAATATTTTATTTATTTACTCATGAGAGACATACAGAGAGAGGCAGAGATGTAGGCAGAGGGAGAAGCAGGCTCCTTGCAGGGAGCCTGATACAGGACTCGATCCCAGGACCCTGAGATCATGACCTGAGCCAAAGGCAGAGGCTCAACCACTGAGCCACCCAGGTGCCCCTAATAGAACTTATTTAACTGTAAGTTTGGATCAGGATTTCTCACCATCAGTACTGTTAACATTTGGGCTGCAAATTCTTTGTTGGGGGCGTGAAGGGGGTCAGCCTGCGTATCCACCTACTGGATGCCAGTAGCACCCCTCCTCCAAGCTTTGACCACCCAAAATGTCTCCAGATGCTGCCAAATGTCCGCCTGTGTGTGTGTGTGTGGGGGGGGCGCATTGACCCCACAGTAGCAAGCCTTGGCAATGGCTGTGTTGAACCTCTAGCTCACAAAACCTCTACAGATGTGGCAGTTGGCCCTTAGGAGCTTATCCGAGCCTCTTCTCTAGCCAAATATGAGGCATGGGTTTCTCCTCTTAGAATTCTTTCTCCAGAAAAAACTGCCCCCTGAGGCTAGACCTTTCAGTCTGGACAGAGCCGCTGACCACAGAGGGCTCTCAGCCTCTGACCCAACCCCTGGGGTGGTTGACACAGAATTGGAGATGCACTGCATAGTGATCTGTCCTAATGGTTTATGAAATGTGAGCAGAGGAAAGAGGTCATGCTTCTGAATTCATCTCTCATTTTACTGTGTTATTCTGTAACCCTAAAAGTTGGTATGTTCAAATGGGCAAAACAAAACAAAACTCCAAACCCAAACAAATGAAACTTTAAATAAAGTCTTCCTCTGGGAAAATTTGCCTGCCTTGTGTCTGGGGCTGCTCTGTGTGTCCCGGGCTCCCGCTGAGGCCCACGCGCCACCTCTCATCCTGCTGGCAGGACTGCCCACCTCTAATTCGCCACTTGGCCCAGGTCCTCTTTGTCCCCAGCTTTGCTCAGGGTTTGGCTCTCCTTCATTCCTGTATTCATTAGTACAAAATATTTATTTAGCACTGACTATGTACCAAGGAAAGTAAATGACTAGAGGAAGAGGCTCCTGGTCTCTGCAGTTTTTCAGCGTTCCGTGGCTGTCACCCGGGAGAGGAGAGGTGCAGGCCTGTGTAGATGCCGAGGAGACTCGGGCACTGGATGGAGTGGGAGGGAGAGGTGTTCATGTGTGTGGGTGGCTCTTTTGTGCCTGGAACTGAGCCGGATGTCATACATCATCTCATTCTACCCTCCCACTGTGCTTTGGAGGGAGTGTTTATTTATTTGTGGAGCATCTGTCTCCCTGCTCCAGAGTGTAGGTGCCCTGAGGACAGGGCACAAGGGCCTGTATCTCCTGGACATCAGCACTGTGTCAGGCCCAGAGATTGGAAAATAAAAGGAAGAAAATAAAGGAAGGAAGGAGGATGGATGGATGGATGGATGGATATGGAAAGAAGAGAGAAGGGAAAGAGAGAGGTGAAAAGAGCAAGCACAGTCCTCCTGGAGGTGAGCGAAGTCAGGAAAGGCTTCTTGGATGAGGTGGTCAGGAAGAAAGGATTGCAGTTGGGAGAACTGATGGAAAGGTAGATAGAAAGAAGATAGAAAGAAGAGATAGGGGATGTCTCCAGAGATTTCTGAAATGTGAGGGTCTAAACTGGGAAGAGAACATTATAAACTATTGTTTTTCACCTGAGACTGGGAGGAAGACAGACAACTAAAAAAACTTCCCTGTCTCCAGTGAGGGTAACATAACTATCTCTCTTCCCACCCCAAGGCCTTCTCACTTGAGGGACATTTGGGCAAGAACTCTCCCCTGGGCACTGGAGGGGAGGCAGAGTGTTGGCCAGGGGAATGAGGATAACAGCAATAATCCTATTACCAATGACGTTGGCTTCCTTTTATCACTTCCCTACTGCGTACCAAGTCTTGATGTGCGCCTTCAACCCGTGAGCTAGACACCACCCCCATATTCCAGACAAGGGGAGGTATGCCTCAGAGAGGTGCTAGACTCACCTGAGGACACACAGGATTCTGGCAGGGTCTGCTTGCTTTTAGGTCTGTGCGGTTTCTTCCGCCAGCAGCCCTCCCTTCCTGCCTCTCAACCCGAGAGAAGCCTGGAGAGTGTTCAGGTGCCGTCTGTGGGCTCTTTGGGATCCAGCTGCCAGCCCACGTGTTGAAATGTTTATTAGCCTTTGACTTTCAGATCTCCAGTTTCTTAGGTTACCGGCAAATGGACTCTGCTTCTTTAAGAAACTCTCCACTCTATTCACGGCCACCTGGTGGCTCCCCTCCTTCCTGACTCTGCACCCCATAGAAATCTCTCCATAAGTATGGATCAAGGCCAGAAAAGTCAACATGTGAATGCAGGCAGAAGGCGAAGGAATTGCTCTGTGCCTAGAAGCCTATGGGAAGTCTAGAGGCTGGGAACTTGATTTGATCAGAGACCCCATCCACCACCCCTCGCCCCACAGCCCTGCCAGATATGCCACCCTGTGCCCAGAGAGCCATGCAGAGGCCTAAAGGAGCCAAGCCCGGTTTTGAGCTGCGTTATAAGAGCACCAGAAACCTGAGGCTCTCTTCTCTGCCTGGGACTCTGTGCACATCGGCAAGTCTCTCTGAGCTTATTTCCTGGCCCCAGCACAAGACTCTTCTCGCCCTTGGGTTGTGATTTCTCCACCTGGGAAACGAAGCAGGCTGCAGTGTGTTCCCTAAGGCTCCCCAAATTTGTGAAATGACGGTGACATTTCCTGTCTTCCTGCTCCTCTCCCCCTCCTGGGCTGTCCTGAGAAGCAGGTGCATGAATGGTGGGTAAACAGGCAGGCAATGTTCTGACACAGGGCGGGCTGTTCAATTCTGGCAGAGCAGATGAGCTTGTACACAAATAACTCTGCTACCAGGGAGCGTGTGATAAGGGCCCTAGAAACCTCTTTGCTGCCTTAGCCACCTGCTCTTCATGCCTCCCTGCTCCCTGATGGCTGCTCTCACACCCAGAAAGTGGGTCAGATTGTAGGGCAGGAGGAATGCCCCCTTGCATGGTCCCCACCCTACCCAACTGAGTCATGATTGCTATCGGGGCAGAGAGAGGGGAAACTTATGGGGCCAGGGGCACCTCTGTGTCCAAAATACAGTCCTGGTCAGTCATCCTCCCTCCCCCGAATGCCCATGGCTCCTTAATGCCTCTGGTTATGGTCCAAGTTCCTTAGCTTGGCATGCAAGACCCTTCACACATAGCCCAGAGCCTGGTGCATGGAGGTGCTCCATGCAGTGACTAGACCCTTCTCTGGCCTGTCCTCCTCCCTGGTGCTCTTCCCAGGCACACAGGACACAATTCAGCCACACCAGGCTGCCTGTTCCCTCCTGAGCACCCCTGGACTCAGTTGCCCTCTCCAGACGTTGGCCTGCAGAGCTGTCACCTCTTCATGTCTGTCCTTCCAACGTCTTCCTCATTGCTACCTCCTTCCTTGAAGCCTTTCCTAAACCACCAGACAGAACCACACTATCCCACTTAGAAGGTATTAT